TGGCCTTTCATCAGGGTCCATCTTTCTGTTCTTTCTTCCTTCCTTTCTATTTTGAATTTGGTATTTTTGAAAGCACAAGTAAACAGAATATATGTTAAGAGAAATATAGACTATATGTTTATTTATTTAACAAATGTATACAGGCACCCATCTGCCAGAAGGAACTCTAGGTGGCAAACAAAATAAAAACACAATATACTCAAAAGACCATTTAAAACAATAAAACAATGTTGAGGCCCTGATAACACTTGTATTCATCCACCAATCACTCCATGCCAGTTCCATCAACATCCTGGCCCCAGTGTCTGGGGGGAAAGCTAGGTTTTCACTGCTTTCTTGAAGGCCAACAGGATTGGGGCCATCTTTATCTCCAGGGGGAGGCTGTTCCATAAGGCAGGTGCCATGACTAAGAATGTATGCTTCTGAAGCTCCACCAGGTGACACTGAGGGGACCTGGAGCACACCCACCCTGCCAGATCTAGTAGGACAAGCAGAAACCATTGGGGATAGGCAGTCCTGCAAGTAACCTGGCTCCGTGCCATGTAGGACTTTAAAGCTGACAATCAGCATCTTGAATTGTACCCGGAAGCCTACTGGGAGCCAGTGCAGCTCACACAGTAGTGGTGTTACATGGATGTATCAAGGTGTGCCCACTACTCCCTGTGCCTCTGCATTCTGGACCAGCTACAGCTTACAAATAGTCACTTATGAAAACAGGAAATAGAGATACAAATAATAAAGCACTGGTGGATAAACAACAGATCTAAGGTATCATAAACACTAGCATATGACAGTATATTGTTAAAGAAGTATTCTGTTGTAGAATATTTTATTTATTTAAAAATACTTATGTGGTCGCCATCTTATATACAATAACCCTGGGGGGCTCACAGCAAGATAAAAAAAGAAAAGTAAAATAACACTAACATCAGCGCTACTCTTCACCCCACAGTGCCCTAATAACAACACTTACATCAAACAGTTGCATCATACATTTGCTGGGCTCCATTCTCACCCTAACCCAATGCCTGGGGGGAAAGCCAGCTCTTCACAGCCTTCCAGAAGGCTATAAGGGTGAGGGCCCTCTGAATCTCGGGGGGGGAGGCTGTTCCACAGGGCAGGGGTAGCTACCAAGATGGTGCATCTCTTAAGTCCCACCAGATGTCAACATTTAAGGGAAGCTGAGCTGAATTGCGCCCACTCTATCTAGCCTGGGGGAATGGGCAGATACCGTCAGGGAGAGGTGGTCTCACAAGCAACATGGCCCTGTACCATTCAGAGTTTTAAAGGCGATAACCAGCATCTTGAATTGCATCCTGAAAGGAACTGGAAGCCAGTGCAGCTCATGCAGCAGTGGTATGATATGGGCAAACCATAGGGCACCTAGAACTCTGCGTACAGCTGCATTCTGGACTATTTGTAGCTTCCAGATGGTCTTTAAGGGCAGCCCCATATAGAGTGCATTGCAGTAATCCAATCGTGAAGTGGCTAGGGTGTGAGTGACTGTGAGCAAGGCTTCCTGGTCCAGAAATGGGTGCATTTGGTGCACAAGTCAAGTTTATACATAAGTCCTAGCCATAGCTGCCACCTGCTCCTCAAGCAGAAGCCACAAATCTAGGAGGACCTCCAAATTGCATACCAACTCTGTTGTGGGAGTGCTAACCCATCAAGAATAATAAATAACATCTTCCAAATCCAGCGGGGCCAACAACCCAAAGCCATTCTATCTTGCTAAGGTTGAATTGGACCAGTTCCTCCCTATCCAGACCTTCACAGCCTCCACGCACTGGGTCAGCACCTGAGTGGCATCAATTGACCAGTCAGGCTGAAAATGTATAGCTGCATATCATCAATATACTAATGGCACTGCACTTTGTGCCATCAAATGACCTTGCCTAGTGGTTTCATGTAGATATTAAGGAGGAACAGAGAGAGACCTGAGCTGTGAGGGATCCCCCACATTAGGGTTAGATTTCACACACACACCCCTGCACCCACTGGATCTGGCCCCAGAAGAAGGAGGAGAACCACTGCAAAACAGTATCCCCCACTCCAACCCCTGAAATTGGTCCAGAAGGATAGGATGGCTGATGATATTGAAAGCTGCCTAGAGGTCCAAGAGGGCCAGGATGGGCTCACCACCCCCATCCCAAGCCCCCCAGATATTAACCACGAACATGATCAATGCCGTCTTGGTACTATAATCCAGCCTGAATCGCAGATGAAAAGAATCCTGGTGATCCTTTGCCTATCCTTATTGGACTTAAAGCTAAACATACTTAATCAACATAGTGCAAATCACCGACAAAACAATAAATGATAAGCAATATATTAAACCAGTACTAAAAGTTATAGATCAAATTAAGATATAATTCTATAGATAAGAAAACCCAAATTTTTGCAGCCATTAATATTTACAGTTCAGTGTATTTTGAAGGGATATATGGTTTAGTGAAATTTAATAAGACTATTTCAGGTTGTAATGGAATTACAACTATCAAAATATGTTCCATTCTACTATGAAGCATTTTCCAGAACTGTTGGGCTTTACAACATTGCCACTATGTATGAAAAAAAAGATCTAACCTGTTTGTTACATTTCCTACAGTTTTTAGAAAGAGAATTATTCACTTTAGTGATCAAGAATGGAGTAACATACCAACAATAAAACATCTTATGCCAATTTTCCCTAAGTAATAATATTCCAAATAAATTTGATATTCTTCCATTAGAATTCTCAGTGTTCCATCTCAATGACTTTATTCAAATTCTGCATCCATTTAATCATACAGCCTTGTTCAGATTCTGAATCGTACTCACTAGTTATTTATAAATGGTGCCTAACAGATCTTTGTATTTTAATTTGGATTTTTTTCCTGCTCTTTTTCCTTTTGGTTTATTGCAAGCAGCCCAGAGTCACAGTGTTCAAGTTGGGTGGCTGTATAAAAGCTACAAACAAACAAATATATTTATGTAAATTTTCAAAAGTGAAAGATGCTGCTGGATTTCTTTATTTTTTACTTTGGTTGAATTGCTTGAAAATATGGTAAACATATGTAAACTATCAAAGCCGAAGAGGTGCACAAGCTCAAGTTGTTGATTGGGCCATTGAAGAGGCTGAGGGAGATGGAAACCAGTCCGGTTCAGAGGTGTCTGCAGGATCTGCCTCTGTTGTCAAAAGGACGAAGCAGCATCGTGCAGAAGCTCCACCCCTTTCATACATGCAGCTCACGAAGCCTGACCAAAAGGGGTGGAGCTTGGGTTGCATAGCTTAATTGCTATTTTATACTTTCCTATTTATAGTACAGTGACCATATTTTCTTGGAAAAAATAAAGGACAGACTTGAAAAAGAGGCAAATCTGAAAGAGATTCACAAGGATAAAAAAATTTAAATGCTTATGTTTATAACTTTGCTTTACAAAGGAACATTCAAGACCAAAACCAAGAAAAACTTGACAAAAATGCATATTCTAATAAAAAATATCTGAAATTAAACGGTATATATAAATTTATTTTTAAAAGAATTCAATTTCCATATTTTTCACGAATGTAAAAGACTGTGCATTAAGTGGTACCATTTGCACGGTAAAAGCTAAATGACCAAAATAAAAGACAAAAGTGACTTTTGAAAAATAAATAAATCTAAAGGACAGCTTTCTGAAATAAAGGACTGTCCTTTATAATAAAGGACGTATGGTCGCTGTAATTCATAGTTATTTTCCATTATCCAAGTCTTGGCTTTATACCTTTAATACATCATATATGGCTAAGATGAAATGCTGTCCTTATGTATTTCTATACATTTTATTAACTACCCTGTGTATTTGGATATTAAATATAATGTACAGGATATACATTGTGTCCTGGGTGGTTTTGTGAATTTGGAATGCATGTGGAAGGAGGAGGAGGTCTCTTGACAGAGGGGACCCACAGAGGCCCAAGTTTCTCTCAAGATGTGTCACTCTGGCCTGCTGTTGTTTTTTTCCCCCACCGCTGTTGGACCTGCTTGAAATGTTTGTCTCTTTGCCTGCCACCACCTGGCCAGAACTCTCCATTGCAGGCCCAGATTCAGCCTCAGTACAAAGCGACTGTTCCAAGTAGGGCTTTGGGCCTGCAGTTCTGGCCATTGAGCACAAACAAAGGGTTGTTTCCAGGGCAACCTATCTCTCTTGGCAGCACAGGCCTGCTGCTCTCTTGCATTTGGCTGGGGGAGGAGGAGAAGGATGAGCTCCACTCTTGGAACCGGCATCTCAGGAGCGTGCTGGGCCTGAGGGAAGGTGTGAGAGCTTTAGCAAAGCCTCCCAGCTTCTCTCATTTCCTGTGTGGTTCCTGAGATGGCATTTCAAGGGATGGGCTGCCATGTACAATGAGATGTGTATTTGATCCTGATGCATTCTTTCTCTAGCTTTCTCCATCCTGGTGCTTTACTTTCAGCCAACAAAACCAATTAGGCCCAACATTTCTGGAAAGCATCAGGTTAGGAAAGAAGGGGCTTAGTGAGATTGACATATGCCTAAAAAGACAGTCCTGCAAACAGAGGAGTGTGCATTGCTCAGGGTGTTACAGATGATGACTCTTGAATTATCTCTGTTGCATTGCTACATTGCCAGTAATGATTCAAAGAAGGGTTTGCAGGTATTGGCAGGATGGAGAAGTTGATTGATTTGAATAGTCAGGTGCCTACAGGTCATGTTATAATTGGAACTTTATCCAGAAAGGCTCTATGCCTGACTCTTATAAAGTAACAGTACTCAATTGTGGATTTATCCCATTAATGTGAGAGTGTGTGGGAGAGTATTTCATTTTAGTCAAACTCTTGATGCCTTTTTTCATCTTGCAGCAGCTTCTAGGACAGCTTCCAGAGTTCTGATCAAAGTATCTTACTAGAGTCTTCTCTCCTTTATTGTCATTTCAGTCACTCTGGGCCGGGGCACAACATCTAAAAAATAATTTGGGTGAATGCATAGCATTCTCATGCCTTTTCTCATTTCTGTCACAGGGGAGTATGTAGAGGGGGTCAGTGACCAAGATGTGCTTCTCATCCACTCCTGTCGTCAATGGACTACAGTGACGGCCCACAGCTTGGAGGAAGGGCATTATGTCATTGGCCCCAAGATTGACATCCCCCTCCAATATCCAGGTAACAGAATGGTGAGAATGCAGTGAAGCACATATTTGAAGGGAAGTAGTGGAAGGGGTTAGAGAGGAAGCTCCTAGATTTTTCTACAGATACTCTGATAGCTCTCCTGACTTCTTGAATGTCCCTGCTTAGGTTAGTTTCTTTCTTTTTTACTTTCCTTCTGATCAGCTGTCATGTACCTTCTTTGAAACCTTGATGCGTCAAATCTCATTGTTTGGGTTGATAAACTATAAGGGGAAAAATATAGATCCCTGCCTCACAAGCTTATAAATTGAAGTTTGCAGTTGGGAGAAATGGATAAGTGAAGGTTTGGACTGCTGTTTATGGATCTGGGCCTAAAAGAAATAGAGCTTTGAGATACAGGTTAATAGAAATTCCTGCATTGTTGAGTAAGCAAAAGTGTGAGCCAGGAATGTTCAAAAGGAATATGGGAGCAGCCCTGACCAACTGAGGGGCTCTATATTATCTACAAATTCGAGGGATTAGTTATCATTTGCCCTCCAAGGCAAAATGGCATGATGAAACTCTGTATTATCTTAATGCGATAAATGTATAAGATTGTTGGAATAGACTTTTTTAGTTGTGCTTAACTGCTTATAATGATGAGTGTTATGTTCAAAGCAAACAATTCTTTTTTTTCTTTTTTTCCTACCAGTATTACACATCCCAGTTCCTCTCAACGTTTTATTGCATATAGATGTCTCATCAAATAGGATTTCATGAGGTTCCCATTCTAAGTGTAACAGTGACATGGTTTTTAATCTTCCTTATAATGGGGAAAAAGAATAGGCAGGTTTCTAAAATCTTCTACTAGAATATAACAAGAGCTTGTACTTGGCTATGTACTTGGCTGTGTGATAGTACTGTAGACGTTTCATCATATTTTTCTGTTTGTGTTTTGGGGTGTAGTCTTTTTAGATAAATATGCACACAGTGAGATTTACACTCAGTGTGAACCATTGTTGGCAAAGGAGTTGCATGATGCGTTGGCTGAGGCAGAGTGGGTGCCATTTCTGGCATAGTGAACTCTACATTGTCACCTTCTACCAGTACCTCCTGATAGGCTTTCAGGGGATGAAATAATTTCCTGCTATTATTGAGTGAAAGGAGCAGATGCAGCTTGTATAGCTAATGGAAAAGGATCAGCTGTGTGGAATCAACCATATCTCAGACTAGACACTTCATAAGAAATAGAAAAGAGCTGGAATCAGGACTTGTAATCAGTGAGTTCAAGGGAGGAAAACAAAATATTAACTTTGCTGCAACAAAAGCTATTGTTCTAGTGGGTAGATGGGTGAGTGCTATTTTTGTATCTTGTATGAAGTTTTGTCATCGAATGGAGATCCATATTGCATAGACCGGGTTTCCTCTGATGCACTGGATGCTCCAAAACAATCTACTAATCTATCCTGTTGCCACCCCTTTTGCTTCTCACTCAGAAAGGGAAGAAAGTCTCCCTGTTTGATTGGGAGAATCTGCTTTTCCAAATGGCTTTAGTCGGTCTGGCTGGCCTTCTGTCAGTTCTAATTTATGGCCTTATTTTTGCTAATTTCTTCCCTGTCTAGTTTCCAATGTGCTAAGAGGCTCAGGCCTCTTAGTCTATATTTTGAGTGAGGAATCTGTGGCCCTCCAAATGTTGAACTATGACTCCCAACTGCTGCAACCAGTGGTTGGACTTTATGTTAGTAATATCGCACATTCCCCATTCTTAGTCTAGGTTTAGCTGCAAGACATCTCTAATCAAATTCCTCGGCACTATGATCCTGGACTTGCTAAAGTTTACTGCCTCTCGTCTAAATTCTGCAGACATAGAAAGAGGGCATCAGTGAAACTACCTCAGAAAATGTGGTGAAGGTGAATACAAAATGAAGACAGGGCATGGTTTGCAGGAGGTTGGTGCCTGATGTAGAAGATGAGAGAGGGGAAAGGTAGTTGCTGGCACCATGCTGGGAGCACTGCGGAGGTGCTGGACAGATGGTATGGTAGGAAGGAGTGGCTGGAGTTGGGAATTAACAGAGTTGACATCATCCCTGGCCCTTAATGAGACCCTTAAGTGCCTCCCATCTTTGGTAATGATGTGCAAGAATGAATAAATAATGAGAGGCAAGCGGGCAGGAGCGGTTAATTGCTGCTCCTTGGGGAGACAGATGGGACAGGAAAAGAAGAGTAAGTGTGTTAACCTGTTGTGTTGGCCCCATTCATAAAAAACCAGAGCAGATGGTTCCAGTTTCAGCTTGCAAGGAAAGCAAAAGCATACTCCATTCCATTGTGAAACCACTGCTTTTGATAAGTGTGCAACTGTATACAAGGGAAAGGATTAGCTTGCCAGAATTGTTGGTTGCTATTAAGAATGATAGAAATGAATTAGATCTTTCAGCAGGCTTGCCAACTGACTGAGACATTCAAATCTTGTTGAAATGAACAGGAGCTGCTTGAAAACAGGGAATTTCATTCCTTGTGGTGATGGAGACATGTTGTGCTATTTAGGAGAAAGGAGACACCGCTAAGACTTTTCATATCAGAGATCATATTGTCTCTAAGCAACAGTGTGTATGCCCAAACCACACTTCTTGGGCTTTCCTGGAAAACCAACTCAGTCCCTCTCCACTGAAATGAATTGGGATCTCTCAGAGCTATTTTTGCTTAAAATGTGTATTTAAATATCACATGGAGGTTTCAGTATGATTAAGCAACCTTAGGTCTGAGTCTGCTTTTGGCAACAGCAAAACACTTCTGAAAGAATTTATAGGCTTTTGAATGTGCTAAAAACTGATTTTTTAAATCATGCTCTTTTCCTGACAATTTGAGGGTAGGAAGCATTATTTATGCCCTTGTCTTTGCACAACAAGCCTGTGAGTTAATTTAGGATAACAGATGATAAATGGCCAAAGGTCAGCTAGTGAGTTTCGTGGCTGGATTGAGATTTGACCCCAGGTCTCCTTGGAGTCTAATCTAACACCATTCTGACCTCACTTAACATGTTTCTATTGTATTTGAAGGCAGAATGTTTAAACTGCACTGACAAAATGTCCTCTGCAATCATTTACTGTATGCTGATGAGTGAAATTGAGATTCCCAGATAACTGAAGATTGTAAATTGGGGGATGAGGGGAAGAGGATGGGGATATTTCAGATTAAGTATGGGAATTAAGCACTTTCTGAGTGCCTGAAAAGAGTGCCATCAGAAAAAGGCCAAGACCTGTTTATCATCTCAGAAGATGGGACATGTAGTAATGGATTTAAATTACAGGATGGCAGACTACAGTTGAATATTTGGAAACATTTCCTAACAGTGAGGGTCTTTCGATAGTGAGCAAACTATCTAGAGAGGACAAACGGAGGCTGGGTTCTTGTAAAGAGCAAGAGCATGAACACAGTGGCTTAAATATAACCTTCCAACATCATCCCAAGTGGCATGAAATAAAGATGTGTGAAGCCTGTGCATCTGTGGCTTTTTAGAAGGAAAACACAATAAAGACAATAACTTGTAGCATATCCATAAATGTTCGAATACTTCACACACATTATTTCAATAACTGTATCTTATAAGATATACAGTAGATATACTTTGTATTGCCTCATTATTGCAAGGTGGGGTAAGTACATGGGTATCCTCAGGGGAGTCAAGGAGAAGCAAATGATGAAAGATATATGATAATACAAATTATATGCTTGTATGCAAGTACAATATGGTGGCATTTGTGTGATGATGTCATGATGCTTGTCATCATTTTGGCATCATCATGATTTGCTGCAGATACTACTGGATAGGTAGGCTGATTGCATCAGTCTGCCAGTGAAGCTTATAGTAGCTATGAGATCTGAACTGAGAAAACCTTGAGTCATGCTATTTCATCCATCAGTATGTGGATTTCAGGGGAAAAGTTGTGGCTTCAGTAAGATGCACCAGACTGAATAAGAACACTGTTTCCTAGTTTCTTATTTCATAGAGTTATGAAACCAAGATAATCCAATAGGCTTAGTAAAAATTGGATGCTTCCATGTCTATGCACTCCATCATAAACTGCTAAACTCATAACCATTTTAGTTTCAAGACTCAGTGGATTATCCCCTTGAACTTCACAAAATCCCCATTCAGATATTCTTCTTCTTCTCCTGTGGCTGCATCCTTTGGAAATGTTGAGAACGGGAGCTTCTGTATGCTGCTTGTGATTTTGAACCATACGCAATCAGAGTTCCAAATCATAAGAGGGATGTTCAGTAAACAAAACAGATTTCCCTCTTCCAAATTTCTCCTCTCAAACAGCTAAAATGGGAGTAGGCCTGAGCATGCACGGCTCTTCTTTCTTCTTCCACACAACTGGAATAGTACAGAAGAGTACTCTAAAAAAGGCCAATGCTTTCCCTGCAGTTGAAATCATTATGTGTGGATGTGTGCTGTATTTTTAAGCCTAAATAAGAACTTGGCAACATTCATTCTAGTCTAAATGTAATTTCTAGCAAAATACTCCAACTCATATCCATCCTATCCTAGCAGTTTGTTCTGACAAAAGACATCAAGAAGTCATCTCCCTCTGGGCTAATAATAGATAATATACATATAAATGCACAAGGAATTTGAACCTCATTAAAGCACCAACTTATTATAACCACTTGGCTGTTATGTCTGTAGCTTAGATAGTGAGAGTGTGAAGAGGCAGAGATACCATGGTTACTCATCTCCATCTATTGCATGCCTTTGTTATTCTTCCAGCTGGTGCATTGATGCCCCCAACCCAGCCCACAATTGCTGCAGCTTGTTCCCATATTGCCTTTTCCTTGGGGAAAAAGAAAGAGGCCCACGGCTGTCTCTGTGATAACAGACCTGGGGACAGCCCTGACACCCTGCCCCTCTTTCCCTTGCCATCATTACCAGCAGCTCCCATCATTAACTTCTTCTATTAGATGTGTCTCCATCTGTTTGGCTTCCTTGTTTGCTGGAGAAGTTGCTGGGCAAACTATGGCAACTGAATCCTGGGCACAAGTTAGGACAGCAATACCCTTTGTATTTCAAGGGACCTATTGCTGCTGAAAGGTAACTAAGGTAGCTCTGAGCTCCTTCAGGAGGAATGCAGCACAGTATAATACAATAGACATTATAGGAGGCAACCCCGATAAAGGACAAAAGTTTCAGCAAAAGGTGTACAAGACTAAGGATTCCCTTTATTAATGAATTACATGTACATCCTGCAGATATTTTGTAGTCTGAAGGGAAACCTTCCCATTCATACATAGGGCCAATGCTCCATCCAGGCACAAATTCTTGCTACTACAAGGGCTCACATATCTTCATCTCATTTAATTCACACTACCACAAGTCCAGGCCCCAATATTCATTTTTCACAAGAATGCACTATGATCAATGAATGGAAAGTTTTACTCCTAATGCTAGGTTGTGATAGCCTATGACTTGGAAAAAGAAGAAATGCACTCTATGTACGTTTAGATACAATTTTACTGTTGGCACATTGATGTTTTCCAGGTTGGACTTTTTTTCTGAGTGGAAAATGTGCCTGGCACTGAATAGGCTTAAATGATGATGATGGCTTAGAAATATGGCAAATGAGACGGGGAGGAAATAATAGAGGTTTATAAAATTACGTTTGGTGCAGAGTACGTCGATACAATTTTTTCCTCACCTTCTCTTATTTAGACTGGAATATAGATTTAGGACAAGGAAGAAAAGTCCCTCTTTACAAAGATACAGTACAGTTAGTGTATGGAATGTACAGTAATAGGACCTGTTAGTGGCCAGGAACAAAGATGGCTCTAAATGGGGTTGGTTAGATTCCTGAAGGAAAAATAGATAATTCACTCCTTGTGATAGTGGCTATATGGAATTCTAGGTTCAGAAGCACTCTGCTGCTTAATTCTAGTTGATAGAGAGCAAAGTGGGAGAGAGCTATTGATTATTTTAATGCTTATTTGTGGGCTTCCTAAAGCCATCTGGTTAACCGTGCTTGGAAACAACACACAATCTAAATAGATCCTTTGTCAGATCCAGCCACTCAGGGCTCATCTTTATTTATTTAATTTCAATGTATTAGCCACCCAACTCCAATGGTCTTCTATTGTTCTGCTTTAAAAAATAAAAATAGAGAACTGTATGGGAACAAATCTCCCCATGACTGCTAGCCATAATATTTTAAAACAGACTCTGCATTAAGGAGAAGAATACTTCTGATGATAAGATGTTGGAGAAGAAAAATGTTCATTAACCCCTGCTTATAAGCTTCCCTAGTGTTTCTAGCTGGCCATTTTTAGAGATATTAATTAGCTAGGTGATTAGGCCCAGTAGGTATGGCAGTGGGTCTTCCAGAGTTTTCACTTCTCATTTTCTGCCAGCCTCTTAATTCAAGAGCCTGTCAGGCTTGCACAGAGAAAACAATTCCTCAACAAGCTAATCTACTAACTAAACTAGCATGTTTTGGGTTCCAATCCTGCAGGGAAATTTAAGCTGCTGGATCAGGACAGGGATGTTCGGGAGCCCGTGCAGTACTTCAACAGTGTGGAGGAGGTGGCTAGCATCTTTCCAGACCGCGTGTTCGTCATGGAGGCCATCACCTTCAGTGTAAAGGTTAGTTGTACTTTAACATGGTGGCTATGTGAGCAGCCTAAAGTATAGGTGGGAAAGAGGGGAGTGGGAGTGCTGTTTTTGCTCCACTCAAGTCAAAATCTCTCTGTTCAGGTTTGATATCTGATTTCTTGACAGTTGTCTTGTTCTGCTTGGTTAATGACAAAGCTATGGCAAAGCAAATTAAAAGAATCTTTGTAAACCCAGATTCAATCAAATCTCCTTACCCTAAATGTGGCTTGCAGTTTAATTGACAATTTCATACCTAATAGGATATATAAAATTTTTGAAAGATCACAGCTCCTTTATGCAATAACCATTGCTAAACTGAGAAATAAGCTGAGATATAAGGAACTGAAAGCAGAATATAGCTTGCTTTCCAGTGTAAATTGGCCTCAAAGTTTAGAAGGCTACTTTGCTTTTGGGCTTTCCAGAGGCAACTGGTTAGCCTCTAGGAGAGAGATGCGATATTGAAGTGGCTGGACCTCTTTTAATCTGATCCAACAATTAGGATCTTCTGTATTTTTTGAATATCTTAATGGTCTTTTTAACATGTATTTAGGGATCTGCTCAGAATGAATAGAAATATTAATGTGTCTTCCCTAGTTTTATCAATTACTGTACATTTTAAACCTAGGGTGGAGATAAGTTTTGGAAAATCAGGGAGTAGTCCCCGGGTTAAGAATGTCCAGTTTACGGACAACCCACAGATAAGAACGGAACCTATTATAGCAAAATTTGAGTTAAATACACAATGATTTGAGTTAAATATACAATGGTTTGAGTTAATTACACAATACTACTTATATAGTATTATACAATAATACGGTTCCGGCTTACGTAGAAATTCAACTTAAGGATAGACTTTGGGAATGGAACTCATTCTTAAACTGGGGACTAGCTGTACGTTCATTCAGTGCCTAGGGGTTTCTAGCTCAATTTGGATCTCTGCCTTTCCAGTTAGGTTACTATAAGTCTGTGAATGAGTTTGAGGAATAAATAGAAACACCTTTCCTACCACAAAGCTAAACACACTCTGGGAAGGAAATGTAATGCACTTTACTGAAAACCACAACAATAACAACAAGTAGAATCAAATGCATTCTAAATTTAAACAGGGCTTGGTTTTCAGGAAAAGCAAAGGATGAAAACTTCAGTAAGAAAAATTCAAAAAGTGTCTACAATCCTAATTACACATAGGGGTAATTCCCATGGAACAGAGTGGGATTTTCTTTTGGGAAAACATGTATAGAGGATTGCACTGAATCTGTAACAGTAACATCTTAGAACTTCATTTGCCAGATGAAATGGAAAATAGTTTCTGTACTCTGTAGAACAGAGATACACAGGGGTATTTTCTTTTCAAGTGGTGACAGCCTTGATCTTAAAGCCAATTCAATTATCTATTTTGTGGAAACCAACAAATGTCTTTTAAGTAACCCAAATTAGATAATTTACTGGAATTTGACTTCTCTCACCCCAAACCCATGCAATCTGGCGTCTCTCTCAATTGCCCATCCAGGTGTCCATTCCTTAAACTTCTTTCTAATCTTCTGCGTCGAAGAGGCCCCTATTCTGTTTTCCCTTTTTGATCAGATGGACATAACTCAAGACTTCCTGAGTGGAATGAAGCCCACCAGCCCCAAATGATGGCCTGTAGTACTTCCTTCCTCCATACACAGACATCCACCTTCTAGCTTTTCTTACATGGCTCATATTGTGGCAGAACAAAGCAGTAGCTTTTGTATCACAGAATCCCCCCTTACTCAAGCCCCTTCTTTCCTTGTCCTCCATATCTGTTGTAGAATTCGCCTTGTTAAGCCTCTTATCTCTCCATTTTTCCTCACCAACCGGCTTCTTCCAGGTTGTATCAGGGGAGTTCAGTGAAGACAGCGAAGTATACAATTTCACACTGCATGCAGGAGATGAATTAACACTTATGGGCCAGGCAGAGATTCTGTGTGCAAAAGCAGCGAAAGAAAAGTCGCGTTTCAATACATTGCTGCGGAAGTTGGGCAAAGCAGGTGTCCCTGGTAGTGGTGGTGGCAATGGTGGTAGTGGTAGCAGCAGCAGCAGCAGCAGCAGCAGCAGCCACACCGGGGGTGGCAGCAAGCAGTTGAAGGGCAAGATGCCTTGTCTGATCTGCATGAACCATCGGACCAACGAAAGTCTCAGCTTGCCCTTCCAGTGCAAAGGGCGCTTCAGCACTCGCTCACCACTGGAGCTGCAAATGCAGGAGGGGGAGCATACAATTCGCAGTATCATTGAGAAGGTGCGGCTGCCTGTCAATGTGATTGTGCCCAGCCGGCCTCCCCGCAACCCCTATGACCTGCATGCCATCCGGGAGGGCCACTGTTACAAGTTGGTGAGCATCATCTCCAAGACAGTGGTGTTATGCTGCATTCTCCGCAAGGATGAGGTGGCACCCTTTCACTTCCTCCTGCTCACAGATATGCCCCGTTTTTTGCTGCCAGAGGGGATGTGGCGTGGCGGCGGAGACCCCCAGCTGGAGAAGTTGTTACGAGAAACTGCTGCCCTCTGCCAGGAATGCTTCGATCCCAATGAATATTCCAAGGCTGTGCGGGAGGCCAAGCCGGACTTCTCAGAAGAATGTGCCAGCCCCCGCCACGTACGACTCTGTCTGCAGGGTTGTGCCCGTGATGAATTGGCCCAGTCCTTCCAGCGCCTCTCGCTTTGCTTGTATGCTGCCTCTGAGAGCAGTTGCCAGGACTCAGCCCAAGGAGGAAGGACCCAGCGATTGTTTCTCCCCTCCCGCCAAGAGCCCTCTGGTCTTATTTCTGATACATTGGATTCTGAGCGCGAATACATGACACCTGATTGGGTTGAACCCACATTCCGGACTCAAGAGCTCCCATATGAAGAATTGTGGACTAATCAAAACACAGAGAATTATTCTGAATCCAGCAGCACTGCTCCCGGACTGGAGAATGCCAACAAAGGTCAGCGTGATCTTATCTCTTTTGGTAGTGTCTCCTCACCTCTGGGTTCACCATGCCACCGAGGCCTGCTGCAGGAGGACCTTAACCCAGATGCTCCTCCCCCAGTGCCACCCAAATCTGAAGCGGTAAGAGACTTGTGTAGTAGAAGGTTTGGTGGAATATCGAAACTGCAGCCAGTGCAAGTCACTCAAAAATGAATGTGTTTTATTGTGTAACTTGAACTAAATGTCAAAGGATGTTGTCATCCAGAGAAGGGAAGTATAGTTAAAAGTGAATTTTGCTTATTAGGACAAATTCTTCATGTAGGGATATAGATGGATAACTTGATAGGAACATTAACATTTCCATACTGAGGATTATTAGAAAATGAACTGAAAACAAAATTATTTCTTTATAAAAATTTGAGGTGTAACCACATTTGGAATATTGTGAACAGTTTTTGTCATTGTGCACATTAAAAAGTTTGAGCACTTCCTCTATAAAGAAAAATTACAGTAGTAAGTGCATTTTAATGTAGAGAAAGGTCAAATAAGGCATCCAGATGTTGTGAAAAGTGAAGACTGGGAGAAGTTTTTCCCACTCTGCCATAACCCTGAGGTCATTTAGTACAGCTGAACAGTGGAAAATTCAGGACAGAACAGTATTTCTTCACACTGCACATCGTTTAACTGTAAAATTAACTAAGTTATTTGTTAGATCTATAACTCAGCTTTCTTCAGGAGCTCAAAGTGGCAAACCTAGTATTCTCTTTTCTAGTTTTTTCCCCCCACACAAGAACCATCCTGTCACATAGGCTGAACTGAGAGTGTATGCCTGTCCCAAAGTCACCCAATGAACTTTCATGGCGGATGGTGGACTTATGCTTGTGTCTCCTTGGTCCTAGTCCACCTCCTTAACCACTTTACATATTATTACAAGTCAATCCTGAAAATTAATTGCTATTCTGCAAGCACAGCTGTAACTTCAGATGGATAGAACATAGGATTCTCCAGGAATAAGCAGAAATCCAGTGTGGGACAGAAGTAGGAATTTTGACCATTTTTGTTTTTTTCAAAATACAACAGTAATTATTTTTCAAAGGGTTTCTAGAAAGCAGAAGGAATAACCTCAAGTGATTTTGGCCCAATCAGCTTCTAAGGAATGAGCCAATGCAATATATTAGGCATTGCCTTTGAAGCTGGTGATTTCTCAATATATTATAATGGATTTCCATTGGAATGGAATGGTAGTGATTTCAAAAAAATAAGTGACTATAAAGATAAGGAAAACCAATGGCAATGCCACTGGATGTGATCTTTTTCTGGTCTCTCACCCAAATTGATTATTTGCTGGGAAACCTGAATTTCCTAAGTCTTTAATGCTGCCCATATGTATTGTCTATGAAAATTGTATAGAGGCACTGAGAATCACAATGGAACTTGTGCTGTCCAAATTTCCTTGCAAGACATTTGGGTTAATGTTGATGATTCTGTAATAAAGGAATAACAAATAGGATCTGCTATAAAATGTTCTAGTATACAATGTATTTTTCCAGCTCTGCCATTTTCTAGGACACTTCATTTCATTGACTCACCCCATATTTATCAACTATCTTCTCTAGTAATGAATCAGCATTCCATAGCTATTGAATGTATTTAGTCTTCAGTATTGGTTTGGCTTTAATTAATTTTTCCCTCTTTCAAAATTCTTCAATTCTTAGGGTTTTCCCCATGCCTGCTTATACCTTATTATTGTATACAGATGGTGATATTTTGGATACATAAGTATGTGTATTTTTAGAATGAGTTTATAAAATGCGTGAAAATTTATATATTTATATGAATATTTTGGCGTATCTACACTTTCAAAGAAATTGGTTGGTTGCTATTAAAAATGAAAAAGTCATGTCAGTTGCTTGTTCCTCAGGAATAATTAGTTCTTCCTAGAATATTTGGAAATGAAATTTCTTTTCATATCATTAGTCCTTTCTGGGTTGGAAAAATGCACATCAGAGTGAGTATTGCAAACTGAACTAATGTTAAAGTAGGAAGATAGAACTTGTCATGGAACTTCCTTGTTCAATGGCAGTTCAGTGTTGCTGTTGTTTTTTTTAATAATGTGCAACTTTGGCTTAAAATGCCCATTTGGTCCAACCCTTCTCCATTTAATATAAGGCAGTTTTGTTCATATTGAGTTAAATAATATGAGTTAACTCATTGAGTTAACTAAAATCTTAATTATTTTGCTCTGTGTGCTGAAGTGTGTTTGGAAAAGACATTGAAAAACTCTACCTTATCCTCCATATTCTGTCCCTCTTAGAACAGAATATGAGGACCTGTATCTCTGAGCCAAAGAGATATATATTGAGAGTATACTTGGTGTACAATCTGTTGGTTGCTGGTCTTTAATGACATTGCTGGTCCTAGAGGTAGTGTTGGAGAAATACAGAACTCTCTGAGCTTGGTTGTTCTCTCGTTTCATTATCAGGCTAGGTAACATCATCAGTGTAAGGGAGAGTGGGGTTTTCTGACTTTTTGTATATAGTAGCTTGCCCTGCCAATCTTAATGGTGGTATAGCTTCCTTCTTGATGGTTGCTTGATTAGAGTGTTGTTTTTTCTCTATTTGCTGATGGTGGTCCAACTGTCTATGACCATGCCAGTACAGGGGAGCCACTGTCTCTTGAGTTACTGGACTATCCGTCTCTATCAATGGATGAGATGCAGTATACATGTGGACAGTACCATTAACACATAGAAAAGAACTTGACATAGAGTCGTGAATTGAATGGACAGCCAGATAAATGTAAATAATAAAACCTGTATTATTAATACCCTGCTTTTTTTTTTCTTTTTGTGGTCCAAGTTCATCTTTGATTAACTCAATACCATGGTGAACTTTCTTTTGTCTCTTGTCTTTCTCATCCTTAGCGTGGGAGTTTACCACGATAGACTAGAGGTTCTTAGTCATGGGATACACAATACAGCATCCTAGACTGATGGCCAACAAAGACAAATCTTCCCTGGACCTCTCTCAAGTCTTCCTATATAGCATTGGTCCTAGCTATGGCTTCTGATCTTAACAGCTCCAAACTCCACCCATAAGTGCTCAGCCTCATTGATTGTATTTGTTGGACTACAGATGAGTCCCATCCATAACTGGCTCTTCACTGTCTTTAGTTCTGGACAGACTCTCAGAGCATGACATTCTCTCTGGTGGAAATTCTCTCTGCCATTTCTACCTTAAACCATCACTACTGATGCCTCTGAAGACAGGTGGGATTCACAATATAGATTGTTCAAAGCTATCAGCTGGATATCAGCTGAGAGATCTTACTATATGAACCGTCTGATGCTTTTTGCAGTTTTCAAGGCTCACAGAGCTTTTGCTTACCTATTGTACAGATCTCATTCAACAATACCACTACTGTCCATTATATAAACAAATATGGTGGATTCTGATCCTTTCTTTTCTTAGCCTTGCAATTTTGGGACTTGTTTGCTTCAGCAGCCATATATGCAATGGTGACCTTTCTGCAGCAGAGCAAGTTATGATCTGTTTTCTTTTGAGTGATTTGTTCCTCCACTATTGGGACAAACTGCTACAGTACTCCTGAGTCTGGTGATTATTGAAGTTGTTCACAGGATGCCTTTCACCACAGCAAAATGATTCCTGGTAAGTTAGTGATGTGAAGCCAGCCTTGATTTCCAGCTCTGTTAATTTTTATCTAAATAATCTTTTCTTTAATTCCTGCAGAGGTGAGATTTACTATTTGAATAACAAGAAGATATAGCATCTTTCAGTCCTGTGACTGTTAGTATTGCATTTCTAGCCTGAGAATTCTTGAAGGAGGTAATGGACATGGTACAGAGATCATCCATTTGACTTTCCTGTGCCAGGAAGTAGCTGAGCTTCTCTTGTTTAGATTCTGACTTATCCACTTGTACACTTCAGTTCATTTTCTGCAAATGCTGTCATCTCTAAAATCTCAGAGTTTTTAATCTTTTTTTTTTAATGGACTTGTTTGGCAGTAGTTTCTGCCATGCTCGGAATAATAGATGGTTGCTACTTACCTGTAGCAAAAGATTTTATTTAAAGGACTTGCAAATTCTGCTCACCATTGAAACTCCAGCCCCACAGTGAAGTCTTCTAATAGTATTTTCAAAGTTGATGTCCGAGCCTTTCTCACCACTTGCAACGATGGACCTTCGTTTACTTACCTTCAAAGTGGCTCTTTGATGGTTGTCAGTGTAAAAACTGACTGACTGTTGTAAAACTGTGTGCTCTTTGGGAAAGTCCCTAATACCTCATAATTTTATACTGAAAATATGATTTTATAGCTTGACCTCCCATTTCTGTAATGTGTAATTTCTGACTTCCATTTTAATGAATCTTTTGTTCTCCCTATGTTTTTTGCTTCCCTTCCTTATATCTGAAATAATCACACCATTCCCTGGATGTACAGAGCCTTAGAAAATGTAATTTAGACCACTGAATCCAACCTATTACTCAGTGCAGATATATAAATTAAAATATCCTTAACAAATGGTTGTATAGCTTCTGCTTCAACACAACCAGTGAAGAGGAGCTGCCATCTCTCTGGGTAATTGATTATTGTATTTTAATTGCACTTGATGATTTAATCCTCACCATGATTGCTTATCCAGTTTCTTCTCAGCATTTTGCATGCTTAATTAAGGTAACTGTTATATTACATTATCACTCACCAACCCCTCTACACCAAGATCTATTTCCGGACATTCTACATGGGCATTTTCTCCTTTAACAACCTTTATTTTTAAAAAAAATCTTCCTCTCTGTAGGACATACACATAGTCTGATCTGGTAGCATTTCTTAAGCATTACAGGTTGGAACTTAAGGCCAATGCAGACATCAGTTTTGACACAGCAGTGCCATTCTCCATGTTGACCTAACGTGGCATGGTGGTCAAGGGCCACAATTCAGCCTTCTGACCTTCCAAAGTCTGCTTTCTCCGTTTTTTCAGTTTTTTCCTAAGTATATAACTTCATATGTCTTGGTTAAATTCCATCCTGTAATTTTCATTCCATTCTACTTTGTTAAGATCAAAAGTAAATCCAACTGGAGAAAAAAAAATAGGGGATAATTGGCAGGAAGGTGAATCACCTCTATCTTTTCAAGTAATCTTGGAAAAACCAGGTTTGGGAACATTCAGTTTCTAAAGTGTTCTACAGCTCTGCTTGAAGACTTTGAAAATTCCTCTTTCGGTCTGTATGGGCATGTTTGATCAGTCTACTTCAGAAAATATATTGGATTGTACTGTATCACCCCAGCAAATAACAATCTTTTCCCTCAATCTTTTTGTAGGTGAGAGAGGAATGTCGCCTCCTTGTTGCCCCCCCGGTGCCACCACGTGGTGCCCACACATCAGCCACCTCCAGCCCTCCAATGCCTGTGCGCTTCCCCAAGCTCCAAACAGCTGTGTCACCCAGCGCCAGCCTCTCATACTACTCATCTGGACTTCATGACATGTGAGTGATGGAACTGGGATAGGTTCTAGAGAGGGATTTGCAAGATACAGCCTTCCTAGTAGGAACTCAGTTGGGAAGATAAGAATAGGGAGAGGAGTACTGTATATGCTTAAGGGCACAGTACAGACTCCTGGACTGGTATCCAGAGGCCTTGAACTATCTTCCTTCTTATCATTGAATTGGCTGCCTGGGTCAGCTGTGCACTTACTACTGCTAGTTTAGGGGATGTGCAAGCATGCTGAGGGCAACAGCAAGAACTGGTGCAAGGAAATACCATATGGGTAGATCTTTTCTTATTGGTTGATCTTTATCTGAGGCACTCTCAGGTGGCAAAAAGGAGGCAGTGTCTTCCTGCCTAGATCCTAGAAAATTAAGCTAGCTATTAAAAGTTTTATGCAAAAAAGAAAGAGAAAGAAAAAGCACATTTCCATATTTACCCAGGAAAGAATAAATGAGATCTTTAATCCTGAGTTAATGACACAATGTAAACACTTTTCTTTTAAACTAATCCAAATGTGGCTGCTTGCTGGTTCTTTTCTTTCTAAGTAAATGTCCTAATTTCTAGGCAAATTGTGGAAAGCATAATCAAAAATAACAGTATCAGGCACATAAAACAAAGAATCTTATTGTGGGAGAAAGGCATGGCTTTGATAAAGCCATGCCTCCCTCTAGTTTTGGACTATATGTTTGGATCCTCCAAAAATGCTTGTAAAAAAAAGCTGAGCTTTCATTCCCATGGCTGTGGCACTTTGAACTTTCTGTGGGTCTCAGAAAAAAGTGAAAAGGGGCAGTACAGTTGATTTTTGTATTGGCTCTTGGCATTTATATTTTACCTGGCAATATACTTAATTGGAAAGAAACTTCCAGAGTTAGAATGTTTGGGGGAAGTTGAGTGAAAGTGATGATGTCTTGGGTTTCAACATCTGCCTTTTTTAAGAACAAGCAACATTGGATGAATTATGGCAATTTCTCATGTTCAAGAGATTTGTGTATGTTTAAGTCTATTTATGGAAATTGCATGTTGAGCGTGACATGAAATTTCTCTTCGCTTCCCTTGTTGTCAGGCAAGGATGACTTTGGAGCAGTGAGCACAAGATTTTTCAAATTAAGGAAGTTGGAAAAATGCATTGTCAAAACTCTGGGGGTGGGGTGCACAGCGTGTTTGGATGTTGCTGGATTTGTCCTCTGTGGTTTTAAAGGCACTCATCTGCTCCAGACTTGTGTTCAAGGAGATCTAAATCCCTTTTCACTTGATACTGAATGTTTTGTTTTCTTTGCCCGCCAGGTCAAGACCACGAAGTGGTAGCTGCTCCCCATCCCCAGACTCCTACTCCTTGTACTGCTATCCCTGCACATGGAGCGACTGCAAAGTTGGGGAGTCCTCTAGCCGACAACTGGCCAGCCCTCAAACACAGCTGCCATCTCAGCCCCCACCCGCTCAAGTGTCTTCCTGGTCTGATCCTTGGCCATATAATGACCTGGGCTCAGGTGTGGCCACTGGGAGATCCACTCCACTGCTGGGGAGCAGTGATGCCACTGCCATCAAGAGCTACCACAGCTGCCCTCGCCTGAAACCTCCCCCTCCACAAAAACGCTTTGCTCCCTTTGGGGCTTTCAACCCCTTTTCCAATGCAGCATATTCTTCCAGTCCAACTTCCTGTGGCTCCTCAGATTGGTTGGACTCTCTTGATTGGCAGAAGACAACTGCCTCTTCCACAGATACTTTTGACCCCTTTGAGGGCACTTCCTCCCCAGAGGGGGAGTTGCACTATAGCCCTGCACCACCACCTCGCTCATCAAAACCCTTTGACACGGCTGAAAACATTGTCATTCGGACGTCAGTAGCCCCTTTGTCATCCACCATTGTTCATGGCACTGAAGGGGGCATCACCCACCTTTATCTGGCTCAGGGGGTAATTGAGGCACCTCCTGCCCGTCTCAATGGGGATGGTTCACCCTGGCAGCCCCCTGGTGACTTATCAGCGCTATCACTTGAGGAGGTGTCTAGGTGCCTGCGTTTCATTGGCCTCTCTGAGGATGTGGTCAGCTTCTTTGCCCGGGAACGCATTGATGGTAGCATCTTTGTACAACTCACTGAGGAGATCTTATCTGAGGACTTTCATCTCACCAAACTTCAAGTCAAAAAAATAATGCAGTTCATCAAGGGCTGGAGGCCCAAGATCTAGATTGGCAAGGGAAGCTTTCTTTGTGGGTTGCAAGGGTTAGGTTCAGGCTGTCCCTTAAATATAAAACTAGGAAAGAGGCCAAAGCATATTTCTATACCTGAAAAATGGTAGCAGGGGGACATGAACCCAAGAGCAACGTAGGATTGTGATTGTCAGTTTTAACTACAAACCAACACAAGGAATTGGCAGGAGCTTGCAAATTTCCCTTTACAGAAATGGGCAAAGTAGAACTCAGAACAGGCCAGAAGCTTCAACATGAGTGGTGCGTTATGGCAGGTTACTATTGTCTTTGTGCCAAGATTAGCAAGGAGATTTATTGCCTTACATGATTCTTGTGTTGATAGTGTGGAAGAGAAGGAAAGCAGTATAGCCAAGGCACAGAAAGAGGGTTACATGCTCCTTTTCCGACCAAGCCCCAGAATCACCAGAGCTAAGCTGCCTATTCTACCGTGATAAGATTCCTGTTCATCTTCTGTTTGTTTCACATAGCATTAGTTTTGAATTTTTTTAAAGAAAGGGACAGGTAATAAGTATGCACCCTTCTGATTGTTTGGGGGTGATCAATTTGAGTAGGAGCCTTGTGACCTATGGTATGCAAAAAATAGAGGGAGCATATCTGCAGACTTTTCCCCAACTGCCTTCATAAGGTTTTGTACTTAAATCTTTGGAATGAAATGGAGGCAATACTGTATTTTATAGCCGAAAGATGTTCAGATAAATCTCACCTGGCAATCTCTGCCCTAGAAACCCTGATCCTTAATCTGAGGTCTAGATTAAAATGTCAGTGTAAAGTGTCAATTTATATTTTACAGCTTTGCTTAGAGACCTGCTTCCACGTGCAGGCTAATTTCAGTGCTCCCCTATGGGGAAAGCATCCTGCATGTAGAAAATAAATGGGCTTAAAAGAAGGGCTTAGGGTAGTCTAGAAGTGCTAATTGTGCGAGATCAGTGTGCACACTGACAGTGGTGCCCACCCACCTGCAATTCGAAGGGCTCCAGTGTAGTAAAAGCTTGATGATTCTGCTGTTTTTACACAAAGCACTGAAACTGCATAAGGCCACCTTCCTAAGCACTTGAACTTCTTAAGCACCTTTGCACTGCTCTAAGGGCTAAAACCTTAACAACTGTGTGCTGCTTAAATTTCATGTTTCTGCACTAAAATTGTGGATGCATGCAATTTAGGAATATTTGGGCAGCCTACTCTTTTGCCTATGCAGAAATTCTATAGCACCCACTGAGAGTTTCAAGTAATTTGTTCCTACTCCAACTTACTTTCACAATTGTTTTTAGCGGAGAATGGGGCTGATTCAAGCCTAGAGGACTTCAAACTATTTGTTTCTACTTTTAGTACTGCAATAATCAAATAAACATTTATTTAAAAATAAATTTGTGCCTAGAATGTGTTGTTCAGAAAGAAGCTGAGTATCTGTTATAGAATATCAACTAGAGCGGTGTTTCTCAACCTTGGCAACTTTAAGATGGGTGGACTTCAACTCCCAGAATTCTCCAGCCAACATGGCTGGCTGGGGAATTCTGGGAGTTGAAGTCCACACTTCTTAAAGTGGGTGAGACTGAGAAATACTGCACTAGAGTATCAGCTAGTTTCAATAAAAATGGGAAGAGAACATGTCAAAGCAATCATGCTGCATCAGATTAAGGGCTTCTCTAAGTGTCCGTTTTCACACAAGGAGGTGCCTCAAGGAAGCTTTCAAGTAAGGTAACACACTATCTCCTACATACGTTCCCCAGCAACTGGCACCGAAAGACAGCCTTCGTTTTTAATCCTCCCCACCAGCAACATACAAAATAAGCCAAAGTCTGCTGAATCACCATCCCTTGAAGGCTATGATTTATTTGTTCTATGAAAAGCATCTGGGTGCAGAAAGATGCCTTCATCTGTTTCAGTATTTTGACTAAGTAAATGTTTATTTCCATACACGGAATTACTTCTGGATTGTAATGCCAATTGTCCTACTTTGGATACATAGTTTTGGAGCTCTTAGCAATCCCTCCCCCAATCTTTTTTTAACTTTCTTCAGTGATGCTGTATCATGCGCAAGGAATGGCCTCCTCACCCCCAACCTAGATTGTTTTTATGTAAGTTAGGAAGTTCTAGTTTCAATAAAGATCTTTGGGCAACTTCAACTCATTTAACGTGGTGTGCCAATACACCCCAGCTGCCTGTTGATGCCCTCAAGGCTACCAGCTCTTTCCCCACTGAATTTAACTATACTGCCTCCAACACTATTTTCAGGAATAGCTCTACATTACAGAGTATTCCTGGAAAATAAAAATGGCAGAATTTCAACCTCATGTTTATGCATAAGAAAAAGAAGATAACATGTCAGAGTCCTGGAGGAATGGATGTGATGAGGAATAGAAAGGTACTTAGTTTGTGTGCTAATATCTGCCTAATGAATAAATTTTGCTTGTTTGCTAATTTTTATACCGCATGTTTTCATTTTGATGTTCTGTGTACATTTTGTATATATTTTGTGCACATCTTATGTAGTCTGTCTTTGTGTTTTACCTGGGATATAGCACAGAAACTGTATGCAAAACTTCATAATCTCTAGTACTGGCAAGATCCTGACCCCATCCTGCAAATCCTTGCATTCTCAGATTTATTGGAGACTTACCTACACCAATGGTAGGCTCTCCAGATTGCTCTGGAGATTTTCAAATGACCTTGATAAAATAACCTTATCACAGCGCAGAATCCCTCAGAGGTTTCAGCCTCTACTGAACTTTGTTTCATCCACCCAACATTTTAACACCAGTTCTAACCTTGAATGAATGACAAGATTATGTACAGAACAATACACTAGGATTTATTCTCATGAATTCTGTGCAAGGTACATATGCTTTCTCACGAGTAGTTCCTGGTAATGGGACTGAAAAGTACCATACAGCAGAAACCTACCCATTCTTTCTTGCGATAATGGGAAATCAACATTCAGCCTGGTGAGGGGTGGATCAGGACAAGTAGTGCCTGAACAGCTAAGGCACTTAAAGAGTTAAAACCCAGAGCCCTCCGATACGAAGATCTCTTGCAGGTCTTCCCCTTTTCCTTTAGGTTAACAGATGCAAATTCAGGCAGTTCTCTTGTGAAATTTCTTGAAGTCCTTGGCATGGTCAAGCAGCAACTGGCACGGTGTGAATTGGCTCCCATAGATATCTTCATACTTTTTCATGCAGTCCACGAGCCGCTGGGCCCCATAGTGGTCTGCATATTGGAAAGGGCCTGACACAACATTCACAGAAGTGAGGGAGGGAAGAGGAGAAGATAAGATTTCCTAAACAAAGTGGTCCTTACACCAAAAATATTTCATAATGCTGGCCTTGACTGCCATTGTATGTTAAATGAAATGGTTACAAACATCTCTAGGAATCTGACAGAAAATATAATTTGGAAGGGGAATAATGAGTGGGTGCAGGACTACATAACAGGGTAAGCAATCAAGTTCCGCTGGAGGTTATAAACTTCAGCTACCACATCAACCTTAGGCAGCAAAATGAATGGCATGAAACAATGAGAAATGCAGTTCAACACATCAATGACACCAGGTTGCTTACACCTATCCCTGGAGAGCAGGTACTGGAGCCACAGTTTGACCGTAATGCCAGTTTCTGCTAATCCTCAAGAATACAGGTTAATTTTGGTTAATTTTGTATTGTTTCTGCTAAGAAAGATTTCCATGTTTTGAATATTTCAGGCCTCTTTGCAAGAGCTCAAGAAGTACTTCCTTATGGAAGCAGGTATACTGTAGCATAAGGCAATCCTGCTGCTAATTCTGCACTAACAACTGAGAAAATGGAACCCTAATTATTACCACTTCAAAAGCTGCTTGTGAGATTTTTCCATTGTTAATATTGTTACCAACCCTCCTGGCTATATAAAAGGGACTGATTAATTCCTTGCTGAATGACAACACTCACCTCCTAGGCATGGTGGGAAGCCTAGTCCAAATACAGCCCCAATGTCCCCCTCCACAGGGTTGCTGAGGATGCCCTCTTGTAAGGTCAAAATGGCTTCATTCACAAACCTAGTCACCAAACGCATTTGGATATCTTCCTTTGTGGACCTGGGAAGGGAAGCAGTAACACATTTGCCACCCTCACAGATAGATTAGAAACCTAGCAGCTGAAACAGGTGCAAGTCAGTGACATGGAAAGGCCTCTCATGAGTAAAGAGGATGGGGACCATTATCCAGTGGCAGAGCAGACAAGTCCCAAGGGTTTTTAGTTACCTGGATTTCAGAAAGCAGGTGATGGCCAAGGCCTTTTTTTTCTTTTGCAGAAGGGGACCAGGTTGAAAGCAGACCTAATTTTCCTAGTGGAAAATCTAAATTTGCAATATAATAAAATTTGTCATGATTTCTGAATCCTACATTTAATCTATTAAAATGAATGGAATTTTAATCTATTAAAATGAATGGAATTTTAATCTATTAAAATGAATGGAACTTAGGTGAAAACCAGCATGGTTTTATATATGAATTTATATATGGAAGGACTATTAGTCTAGTTCCGGAATTGAGAATTCCTTGGTTGAACATGTTGTTTCTAGTGCAGTCTGTTCACACCAGACACAATTCCACTTCTCCTGCATCTGATTCTATTATTTTGGGAACCATACAAACTAATGGACTAGGTTTTCAATGTAAATGATCCTGGGTCAGTTCTGGGATATTCTGCATGCGAAAATGTGTACAGATTTCAGACAGAAAAATTTGGGGAAAGCTCCATCTATCTGAAATATTGCCAGTCAGAGTAGAATAAATTGGGCTTAAATGGACAATGCTCAGTTTCCATAAGGTGCCTGTTATGTATTTATATACCGTCTATGCAGGGAATAAGGAGAGCCAGCAATCAAGCCTTATTCTGGAATGCTCTGTCTATTTGGGAAATCTCTCTTTTCCCACTTACGCTTCTGGCTTGGCAGCCACTTTGAATCTCTCTAGAATTTCATTCATTCCAGTGTTGAGATCCCGTTTCTTTACACCTTCCTTGTAAATATAAAACCCTTTTCCTGCTTTGCGACCTGTCAAATAAAAGATAGAGGGTAGTGGAAAAGAATGAGGAGGCACTTAATAACAAAAGAGGCAAACATTGATCAGAAAAGATAAATATAGGGAAGCTCAAAAAGAGACTCTAAGCTTGTGGAAAGAGGAATGGGGTAGGGAGTGGGGAAAATATTCCTTTATCACAAAATGCTATGGTCATTTCCCTCCATATAATCTACAGGTAGGCCTTGCTTACTGAATGGCTTGTTTAGCAACCGTTCGAAGTGATGACAGTTGGGGAAAAAAGCTTTGCAACCAATCCTCATATTTACAACTGTCACAGCATCCCATGGTCACAGGATCACAATTCACATGCTTCACAACCAGCTTCTATCAAGCAAAATTAATGGAGAAGGCAGAAGTGAAATCGCAAGTCATGGTCATGTGATGTCTTGCTTAACCACCATAGTAATTCACTTAATGATGGAAGCGGAAGTGAGGTGGTAAGTCTGGCACAGTCACGTGATGTTTTACTTGGCGACCATGGCACTTGGCAAAGGAGTTACTGGTCCCAATTGTGGTCGGTAAGCAAGGATTACCTGTATAGAATTCACTGTCACATGACACAGTGGTTTTCAAGTAACAACTTTCAGGTATCATGGTACACAATCTACTCCCACATATTGGGCATTACCAGGGCTCCCTCCTACCCTAATGAGATGATAAGGTAATGCTGTCAGACATCTCCCCACATGACCCACTAGAATGGAGGTTCCAGGCTGGGACTAAGGGAAACTTTGTACAATTTGTAGATGGGAATTTATAACTTTCCATCACCCACACCAACTCCAATGTGGTTATTAACCTTCTGATCAGACATAAATATCAAGGCAACTGAACCTTAATCACACAAATCAGGGATAGCTGTCAGGAACTGCAAACAACTGCATGAGATTCCAAGAATCTCTGCAAGCCATTGTCTAGCATCACACCCACAGCCACTGGTTCCATTAAGAAAAGTCACAGAGAGACAACTGCTGTCAGTTTACCCACTCTGGCTGTCTAGGAGATCAGCAGTTTGTGGGAGACAGACAAACCTGATCCAATAAGTCCTCTCCATTAATAAGTTCTTCTGCACCTGCATACCCATCACATTATATTCTTACTATTAGAAAGAGTAACCCAAAGTAATTAAGCCATAAAGGAAGAAAAGGGAACACAACTAAATCTAGTTTATATCAACACTTCTCACTATATCCTTCTATGCTTCCAAACCATCCTTGATTCTACCACATCTATGCACCCATTCATACATTGCCTTTGGTGCTGTCTAAGGATCTCAT